GTGGACGAAAGTGAGATTTCAAGGGCCAGTGCCCGGCTCCCCCGGGCTGGCGGCGCCTGGGCGCGTGGCCGGGCTGCGAGGAGCGGCTCCCGGCCAAGTGGGCGCCGGGGCGGGAGCGCGGGCCAGGCACTTAGTTAGCGGGAGGTCCGGACCTCCAGATCGGGGAGGTGGGGCCTCGTTTTTCCCGGTTGTACATCGTTTTATTCCTGTCCCCGTCCCCCAAGCTGCCAACTCCTAAGTTAGCGCTTTGGCTCCTGAGAGATGGCCTGGCGTTAGGGGGAGAGCCCTCGTTGCCTAGTTGAAGTCTTGGGTCACACTTCCTGAACCTGCGTTTATGCTTGTGTGATACGATTGAGTTTGTAGTCTGACCACTACAAACCTAAAGTTCCAAAGGCGAGAAGGAAACAAGATCTGGGCCAGGCTTTGCAGACGATTCCCGGAATGACCCCGGCGTGGTTCTTCCGCCCTTCACCTTCCCCGCGTTTACCTGCGAAGTGTGCCTCGTCAACAGTCAACCTTGTCCATGCACCTCTTGGGAGGAACATTGTGATGGGAGTTGTGAGCTTACTGTCGGTGTCTGAAGAACCTCCGGGACTTTGGAAATAATAGCGTAGTTTATTCAGCTCGGGATTGCCGCTTTCTGATCCACGAAGAGCACAGTGGCATAAGGTAAAGGAAGCAGACGTCCAAGGCAGATGTACTGGCACAAGATAAAAAGTATGCCTCAGCTGACGTAGGTGTCATCTTAAGACGGCTAAGTTTAGCGGCGCGTGCCTGACTTTTTTGGGGCTTTTTTTCTTTTTAACATTGGCATACCGAATGAAATGTGGGCAGTTGCCAGTCGCGCTATAGAGTACTAGGGCAGAATTGGCAATGACTGAATCAATCCATTCAGGCAAAAATTCATCATGTGCCTACTGTGTGGAGAGTGTCGGAAACCAAAGTTGGCTTCCAGAGGCTTTATAGTGTAATGGGTGCTCTAGCAGGTTTACACACCAAGTACTAACCATCTGCCTGTTCCTCTCCTGCAGTGTTAGCCGAGTTCCTGTGCAAGACAGTGGGCAACGTTGTTTATCTACCAGCCGTGGGCAAACTGCGGGCCGGATTTGAAATGAATAAAACTAAAAAAAAAAAAAAAAAAAAGACGGTACCCTTTTATGTAATAATGTTTACTTTGAATTTATATTAGTTCACACAAACACTCCATCCATGCTTTTGTTCCGGCCCTCCGGTCCAGTTTAAGAACCCATTGTGGCCCTGGAGTCAAAAAGTTTGCCCACCCCTGAGTCTAACCACACAAATTCCAGTTCTATAACCTCAACTGGATTTCTCCTATTTTGCATGTCTTTTAGCACCTATGCCTCCCTTCCCACCAGAATACTTTTTGCAGCCTTTAAATTCTGGCCACTTGCATTATATGACTTTACTTCAAACTTTACAAGAAAATTAATGGTGTTAGGCACAAACTCCTTCAATTTTCCAAATGCTAGAAAATTAGATACTTCTTTGCTTTTCTCCAGTATCAGAGGAATGAGATACTCCCCGTTCTTATGTCAGATGAATTATTCATCTGTTCCCTGGTTCCATTCCATCTTTCTCTCCCATTTATTATCTTTTCTGTCTTTAATCTTCCACATTTCTGGCTCCCCTCTATTTCCTTCACAGTCAGGCTTTAAAAAATATTCTATGCTCAATGTCTCTTTTTGTTATCTGAATGCCATTCTTAATTCTAAATTCTGTACATATGCTATCAAAAATACTGTCTTTAAAGTAATCCCATTATTTAGAAGAAAATGAGTTATTGTTCTTTTATAGAGTACTGAAATCATCTTGGTGGGACTAGTAGGATGAGGTCACACTTAATAGATTGGAGTGACTTTCGGTTATTTTTATCTAGCATTTTTTTTCTTTTTAGAACCTTGTGACAGAGACTTGACCAGCCATTCATGAGACTTATTTTTTCTTCCTGGATATACTAGTACAGCTAGAATAAATTTCCCAATTTTCTGTGCCATGTGGTTGACTTTTAGTCAATGAAATATGAATGGACATGATATGCTCATTCCCAGGCTTAATGGGGTCCTCCCTTTCCCTTCATCTTTCTCCATCAGATTGAAGCTAATGAGTATAGAAACCTTGAAAACAATATGTTGGAGATGTCGGAGCCAGAAGAGAGAAGGAGCATATGTGACTAAACCACATCCAAATTAGAAAACACTTTTTTTTGGACTTCTTATAGGAGAGAAAATTAAGATTTGAGAATTTACATCTTACAAGAACTAGAATGACCATAACTAATCCAGAAATTGGTATCAGAAGTGGGGTACTACTAAGACAATAACTTAAAATATGTTGTATTGTTTTAGTGATGATACAGCAGATGTTGAAGAAACTGATATCAGAGGCTGGAAGAAGGAAACCCATGCTTTGCAGTGGGAGAATAATTGGTAAAACTGTTACCTGTGATAATTGAAAAGCATAACACCTATCTATTGAGGCTGTAGTCCAGAGGAAACAGTTCAAAATTATATTGTATTTTGAATTTTACATTTTACTTTTAGATAAATTTTACTAAAGAGAAGCTTTGGAAATAATTACAGAAATTAAAGTGCATAAGAAATTTGGAAGAATTGGTAAAGATGGCATTTTCTAGATATTGAATGGTAAAATGAAATGAAAAGGACTTGAGTACAATTTCTTTTAAGATTTAGTCTGGATCAAAGATCAAATGAAAGCTTTGGCCTTCTCATCCAAGACCATTATGTTGGCTGGGATGATGTTTTAGAGAAATTGACATGGGCAAGGAAGCAAAGAAGTAATTCAGTTTTGTCAATTATATAAGGAAGAACTTTGGGAGTAATTACTAGAAGCAAATCTATATATATATACAAAAGGCTAATATGTAAAGTGTCCCCTCTGGAGTTCGACCGAGAGTTCAACCGCTTGCTATGACTCGCGCTGACCACCAGGGGGCTGCATGGAATGAAAGAAGGTCCTGGCCAGCAGCAGGAAAGCCCCAATCGGCCCTGATTACTGGCCAGGCCTAGGGACCCTACCCGTGCACAAATTGTATGCACTGGGCCTCTAGTATATCACAAGACTTAATTTCTGAAGGAGTTTTATTGCTAATCAAATCATGAACCTGGCCAATGTTGCCTGGCCTATGCACCGAGGGGTTGTGGGTTGGATTCCCAGTCAAGGGCATGCACCTGGGTTGCAGGTTCGATCCCAGCCCCAGTAGGGGCACGTGCAGGAGACAACCAATTGATGTGTGTCATGTTGATGTTTCTCTTTCTCCCTCCTTCCTTCCTCCCTTCCAGTCTTTCTAAAAAATCCATGGAAAAAATATCCTCAGGTGAGGATTAACGCCCCCCCCCCCAAAAAAATCATGAACTTGGTTCAAATAGTGTTCAGTTGTTAAATAGCAAGGCAACTGTTCAACCCCAAACTTGCATAAGTAGGAAATAAATGCTTTACAGCTCCCCAGTACCTAAATGGAATGTGGCCATGGGAAATGATGGACAAAACATTTCAGAGGCTAGTATCAGGTCCATACAGGGACAGAGGATCACAAGGGAGTTTGAAAAACTAGATTGAGCTCTCATCAAAACTTCCTCCACCCTTGAGAGAAATGCCTGTGAAATATTTCATTATTGCTGTTCATGTGTATTGCCTAGTGTCACATTTTTCTCTATTCTAAATGAGCATTTTGTAGTTACCTGCCCATGATCATTGTGTTTCCTGGGAAATGGGGTGATATGAGAGAAAACTTGTCTTTAGTTCATAGGTTGCATCTGGACCTAATGAAGATGACTGCATTACCTGAACATCTAGTTTTTAGCCCAGCTGGTGTGGCTCAGCAACTGAACATCATCGTATGAACCAGGAGGTCACAATTTGATTCCTGGTCAGGGTACATGCCCAGGGTACAGGCTCAATCCCCGATGGGGGGCATGCAGGAGGCAGCGATCAATGATTCTCATCATTGATGTTTCTATCTCTCCCTCTCCTCTCTCTCTGAAATCAATAAAAACATTTTTTTAAAATCTAGACTTTAAGCTTGACTTAATGACTTGGTAGAACTTTAGATTGGGGTGGGATGTGTTCTGTGTGTATGAAGAGAGGTAAAATAAATATTTAGTGATAATTGTGGACTCTTGTAGTCACTACATTCTTTTTTTTTCTGGGCACACATTCTATTTCTCAACCTCCCTTGCAATTGGGCTAACTAGTTAGATGTGCCAATTAGGTTTTAATTAACTAGAAGTAGAGTAGAAGTAATGTGTTCCTATTGCAGCTCTGGTCCATAAAAGTATCACATGAGAAGTCCTCCAAGATCTCCCATTCCCTACAACTTGAGGAAGATGAACACATTTGTATTGGAAGCCATGCATTAAAAATGGTGAAACCACGATATAGGACTCAGGTTTCCTGAATCAGCATTTGGAAGATAGTTGCCTGCCTGTTAGGAATACTTACGTTAAAGTTCATATGCATTTTTTGTGTTAAGCCACTGGGATGAGAGTTTATTCTAATAGTAGAGGCCCGGTGCATGACATTCATACACTGGGCAAAGGGGTCCCTCAGCCCAGCCTGCACCCTCTCACAGTCTAGGACCCCTCAGGGGACATCCACCTGCCAGCTTAGGCCTGATTCCGCCACCCCCCCCCCGGGCCTAAGCCGGCAGTCAGACATCCCTCTCACAGTCCGGGACCCCTTGCTCCTTACTGCCCGCCTACAGCAGAGGTGGGAGAGGCCACCACCACTGCACTCACCAGCCATGAGCCCAGCTCCTGCCTTGAGCGTCTGCCCCCTGGTGGTCAGTGTGCATCATCACAATCCATCATTCTGCTGTTCAATTTCCATATTGGGGTTTTATTATATAGGATAGACCTACCTTTTTTTCCCCGGGTGCAACCATCTATTACCTGGTCCTAAGTCCCATACCACAGGGTGGACCCATGAATCAGGCCAGGCAAAATACCCTATTCCTCAATTATAATAATTGGCTCAGGAATGGACAGGTTAATTCACAAAATAAAGTCAGTCAGAGACAGTCTCATCATTTGGACTAGCACTGTTGAGGAAAAAAAAAAATACCTCACTCTGAAATTAAGCAAAAACTTTAACTATGGCTTTGGCCAGCATGCAGAGTGAACTTGCCTGAGAATGAAATTATTCGAAGAAAATGGAAGCAGTCTCAATGGTATTGGAGGAGAAAAGAGCCCATGATTTGAGACATATTTTCTGGCTCTTTTCTCAGAGTTGAAACCCTATGGGGTAAGGCAGTGGTTCTCAACCTGTGGGTCGCGACCCCTTTGGGGGTCGAATGACCCTGTCACAGGGGTCGCCTAAGACCATGGAAATCACATATGTAATTACATATTGTTTTGTGATTAATCACTATGCTTTAATTATGTTCAATTTGTAACAATGAAAATACATCCTGCATATCAGATATTTACATTACGATTCATAACAGTAGCAAAATTACAGTTAGTTATGAAGTAGCAATGAAAATAATTTTATGGTTGGGGTCACCACAACATGAGGAACTGTATTAAAGGGTCACGGCATTAGGAAGGTTGAGAACCACTGGAGTAAGGGATAGATACAGCCAGGAAGACTTCAGAATTCAAAAACAGGTAGCTTATGGCTTCTACCCAGGGTCCCACCTGGTAATTTGCCTAATGGAGCAACAATCAAGTAGAAATGGCAGCATAATATGGTTAGGCAGAGAGGATCAGGCAGCATTGAAAACCACTGCTGTGTCTTACTTGACTACAGTGGACTAAAAAGGAAATACGGAATTCCTTAAGAGGTTTATAAGTGTGACTCACAGTAACAGCCCAATTACTTTCCAGGAGTTTGCTGCAATACAGGATGGTGAAAACTCATGGCAGAGCCTGTGGTATGAATCCATGGGTTGGATAATGGATCCTATTGAGAGGACACTAACATCCCTCTAAGTTCTGAGATAAGGGTAGAGGGAAAACGGCACTTTGAGAATTGATTGCAAGTTGTAGCAACAACAGACCTTTCAGCAACAAATTCAGATGGCATGCTGACCAGATGTCCCTCCAATAATGCCATGGTGGTGAAGAACTTTTAGCAACCATATAAAATCGTAGATAAAAAGAGCCTAATAATACCTTAAACTTAAAATTCCCTGAACTTGAATCCAAAATTGATGTAAAATTCAAAACAGACTATTAAACTGAGAGTACAAAATCTCAAAATAGCAAGGTTTGGATTTTTATTCCTAGCAAGTACATATCATTGTCCAGTGTCAACAAAGAAGATACCCTGAAATGTAGAACTGGTGAGTCTAGGTGGGATGCACAGTAATAAGAACCCCTTCATCCTTGGCAGTATTTACTGTGTTGTATGTAGCAAGCAAGAAACCCATTGAATTTTAGGTCTTAGACAATGACTATATCAAGATTGAAGTTTTCAGGAATGTGGTAGAAAAATGCCAGGATTTTGGCGTGTGTCCATTAGTGAGGTCCTACAAGAAAGAGATGCACTGCAGATCAAGCTAGCTAACCGAATGCAAAAGAAAGAATGTATTTTTGACACCCCCTTTCCACATGAACTCAGTAAGCCCTGTGGCTGAGAATCAAATAAGCCTGCAGTTTACAGGTTTGGAAAAAACCCACATTCTTTCTCCTGAGCTAAAGTTGATGCAAACAAAAATAGGGAGTTGAAAACACAGTAAAAGATGTCATTTGAACCCTGGAAAAAACCTGATCCTGATCACCTCATGCATCTCTTGCTGTATATATCCTGTCTGACAAAGGTTGTCAAATTAGTCCTGTTGTGAGAAGTCATTCACTGAGATGGAACTTGGGGGCAAGGGAACAGATGTAAAACCTAGCTGTATTTCCTTTAAACTCATTCATCAGCTTATAATTTTGGCTCCAAAGGTCAAAAAAGAAATAGTTAAGTTTAGTTGGCTGGAGGATAGACCTTACATTCCAACCTTGAAACATATTGCTAAGGGATAGAAAACATTCACATACCATCTCTGTTTTTGGTTTCTAAACCACAGAGTTACCGAAAAGTAAAGTGACCAGCAGGCAACTAAGATTGCAAAAGAATTTTATTGACAGAAACATGAAGCCTTGCAAACAAAGGCATCTGATTGCTTAATTTCAGTACCCATTATATGTGGGCAAGAGATAAGGGAGTGTCTTCCAAAGAGCAAACTCAAGACCACTATATTAACTGACCAAAGACCCCATCTACTAGGTAATTAGGGTAGTCTTGCTCTTGTTAAGTCTATAGCACTATTTAAAATTATCATTATTATTCTGTACCATGAAGAGTTACATCCAGACCTGACCAAAAGAAATGCAGGTTATCCAGAACTCTTCGTCTTCAAGCAAGATGCAAAAATTGGATAAGACTTGGCATGTCTCCCATTGAGGAGAAGAGTTGTTTATGGAATAATTACGTTGTCTTGGTCTAAGGCAGGGGTGGGCAAATTTTTTGACTCGAGGGCCACAATGGGTTCTTAAACTGGACTGGAGGGCCGGAACAAAAGCATGGATGGAGTGTTTGTGTGAACTAATATAAATTCAAAGTAAACATCATTACATAAAAGGGTACAGTTGTTGTTGTTTTTTTTAGTTTTATTCATTTCAAACGGGCTGGATGCGGCCCGCGGGCCGTAGTTTGCCCACGGCTGGTCTAAGGGCATTAAAAAAAATTATATGTACTGAAAGAAGCACAAATATAGATGCTGGGTAGCCAAAGGGTGGAATGTAGTAGACCACAGTTTTTGTATGTCCATTCTTTCTGGAGATGTCTTTCTCTTAGCTGATTAATCTGTTAATATGTAATTTTTCCCCTGCCCTAAAGATAGGCATATGAACCAAGCTAATCTTTCTAGAGTCATCTATGAAAATTTTACTGAGGCTAGATCTGCTGTTGATTATCTTTGACACAACATGGAGAAAGCCTCTCTTACCATATAGCAAGAACAGAAGAAAGCAGATATGAACAATAGAGAGTAGAGTCCAGATGATATCACTTGACATCAGTATCATAGGCTCCTCATTGTTCTTCATTAATTAATTGGCCAGTGAGTTCTGCCTTTTCTCCTACCCACCCCTGCTACTCTTATTTAAGCCATTTTAAGGTAAATTTCATTAAGTTTCAACTAAAATAGCCCTGACCAATATTATTCCCCTGGGTGGCAGAGTCCCATTCTTCGAGAATCTTACAGAACAAGGATTGGAGCAGTAGTTATAACTGTCCCACCAACACCACTGGGAGACATTTCTCAATTACCTTCCTTAGAGGAACTAACTTTATTAAAGAAGAAACTAACTTTATTAAGGAAGATACTGATTTGTGATTTACTTCTTAATTGCCATTAGCCTCGTCAGCCCCTGCTTCACCTGACCCGTGTGGGATTTGACAGTTGTTGCACTTTACAAGGAGATCCCAATAAACTAATCCCTCTCTTCTTGCCTAGGTTCTGAACAATAAAACGAAGTGATATTGTTTAGCCCTAACAACTGATTACCATAATTAGGCAGATTATACCTCCAATTCCTAGCAACTCTTGACAAAACAGCTTGGAAGATCAAATGAGAATTCAGACTCTAGACAATCTTGTTCTTGGAGGCTAGAGGACAAAGCTAAATCAGATATTCTTCACAATTGTAGAGAAAGACCTGGAACTAGTTGAGGTCCTTTCATAGGAAGAAAACATCAATGTCAAGCAAGATGCTTTCTCTACTAGCATCATGGACCAAATCTTACTTGAAACCTACTCCCTTTAGTTTCTATAATAACCTTCTAGTTCAGTGGTTCTCAAGCTTCCTAATGCCACGATCCTTTAATACAGTTCCTCATGTTGTGGTGACCCCCAACCATAAAATTATTTTTGTTGCTACTTCAT